CTTGGCCTTTCACATTCTCTGAGTTTTGAGAAATGTATAACCACCATAATAGTATCATCTTCCCTAAAAATCCTCTGTCCTCTGCCTATTCATCCCTCTGTGCACCTGAAATTAACAGCCATTGATCTTTTTACTGTCTCCAAGGTTTTGCCTTTTCCAGAATGGCATATATTTGGAATCACACTGCATGTAGCCTGTTCATATCGTTTCTTGCATTTAGTAGTATACATTTAAGTTTCTTCCACATCTTTTTATGGCTTGATAGTTTTCTTCTTTTTTTAAAGCACTGAATAATATTCCATTGTCTGGATATACCATAGTTTATTTATCCATTCACCTAGTGAGGGACAATTTGGCTGCTTCCAAGTTTTGACAATCATGAATAAAATTACTATAAAAATCTAACCTAAAAGTAGGCTTTGGTGTGGAAATCAGTTTCCAATTTATTTGTGTAAATGCAATGGAGAATATTTGCTAGATCATATGGTAAGAATATATTTAGTTTTGGCCAGGCGCAGCAGCTCACACCTGTAATCCCAGCACTTTGGGAAGCTGAGGCGGGTGGATCATGAGGTCAAAAGATCGAGACCATCCTGGCCTACATGGTGAAACCCCGTCTCTACTAAAAAAATACAAAAAAAAATTAGCTGGGTGTGGTGGCATGCGCCTGTGGTCCCAGCTACTCGGGAGGCTGAGGCAGGAGAATTGCTTCAACCCAGGAGGCAGAGGTTGCAGTGAGCCGAGGTCTCGCCACCGCACTCCTGCCTGGCGCCTGGTGACAGAGTGAGACTGTCTCAAAAAAAAAAATAAAGAAAGAATATATTTAGTTTTATAAGAAGCTGCCACACTTCCTTGCAACGTGTCTGTACCATTTTGCATTTTAAGCAATGGATGAGTGTTCTTGATGCTCCACATTCTTGCTAGCATTTGGGATTGTCAGTGTTAAGGATTTTGCCATTCTAATGGGTGTGCAGTGGTATCTCATTTTTGTTTTAGTTTGAAATTCTCTAATGACATATGATGTTGAGTAACTTTTCATGTGCTTTTTTTTTGAAATCTATGTATCTTCTTTGGCAGGTGTCTGTTCAGGTCTTTTACCTGTCTTTTTCTATGCTTTTTTTTTTTGTAATCAATATATCTTCTTTGGTTAGGTGTCTGTTCAGGTCTTTTGACTATCCTTATATCAGATTGCATTCCAAATGTAAGACATTTTTAGGAGTTAAGAGATTGCCTCTGAGATTTCACATGCATCTCTTCAGTTTACTGTGGACATTCCTTTTTCCATGTTTCTAAGCAATAGACAACGGTCTTTTGTTATTATCTTGGTAATATTCTTGTTCATTTCCCTTATAATTTTGGATCTAGCGCTCTGAACCCAGACACAACTTAAAAAATTACACGCATGTATCCGGGAACATCGCCGTCATCAGGTGGATGTATACAAAGAGCGTCTACTGTGTTCTCTTATAAAGTAAGCTAATGTCATTGTATATCACATTACTTTAACACCATATGCTCATGTGATTTGTTTCATTCTTACCCCAAACCAATCTGTAATGCCTCCCACAAGTCCTCAGCTGGTGATTTCAAGGTTGAAGAGATGACCTTAAGCAGACAGTTAATGCCTGCATTGAAGTCCCTGTAATAAAAGAAACTTCGGGAAATTTTGAAACGTGATCACTAGTTAGCATGAAAGCATGAACAAAAATTAATTTACAAGACTATGATTGAGTGTTTGGAGGGATGGATGTTATCCTGCTTTTGTTTTCTCCAATTTCAAGTCTTGTCTTGAAGGCTTTGCTTGTCTACATAATCAGAAGAACAATTTAGTACTGAGATGTTCTTCTTTTTCTGATATGAGGAGAATCATGAGACCATAGTTATAAACTTAACATAAATGGAATGAGGCTGAAAAAAATGGTATCTGACAAAGAGTTCGCTTTCTCTAGAAGTAAAATTCCAGAGAGTAAAGTTCTAGAAAGTGCACCAGGTCCCACTGCCTGTGAGGCTGACTCCTGATGGAGGGCAAGGGTATTAGGGCTGAGTTACAGGCCAGAGGAGAGCAAAGTCTGTCTAAGTTTGGTCATATGCTGTGCAAAGTGGTTGGTGGGACAGCTCTCTCATGAGTCTGCTCACTGTCTGAGGCCATGTTCTTGGGGACCCCGGGTAAGATTTCTTAGACTTAAATCTCTGCCATTAGTTTAGCTCTTTAGTACTGTATTGAGAAAGCCTCCATCTAAATACTAAAACTATCCAATATGACCAAAATAAAGCTATCTTTTTTCTCATTTACTGTAGAAGAACTGGACTAGTTAATATTAATTTGTTTCCAGAGTCCCTGAATTTCTTATCCAAAACTCTTTCTGCTACTCTTCTTGGAGGTCAGTGTATTGCACAGAATAACATTAGTCAATGGGTCATAAAATCCTGTAACATCCTAGTTCCTGACAATGAATATTTTAGGCTTTCCTTTGCTCCTCTGTTCTGTCTTGTCTCTGGCCTTGGCTGTGTGACTCAAAATAAAAAACTTTTCCAAAGTTTATTGCAGCAGCGCATGAGTTAGTGTATACTATGATTACCCTTGTCCCACATTCCTTCTTGATCTTGTAAAATTGTATGGTCTGGATGCGTTCCCTCCAAATTCATATGTTGAAACTTAATTCCCAATGTGATAGTATTTAGAGGGGGGGTCATTAGGAAGTGATTAACATATGAGAACAGAGCCCTCACGAATAGGATTAGTGACCTTAAAAAAGGGCTTGAGGGAACTAGGTGACCCCTTCCATTTCTCCACCACACGAGGATACTGTGTTCATCTCCCACAGAGCATGCAGCAACAAGAAACTATCTTGGAAGGAGACACTGGGCTCTCACCAGACTTCTCAGCCTCTGGAACATGAGAAGTTAGTTTCTGTTGTTTATAAATTATCTGATCTCATGTATTTTGTTACACTAGCACAAACAGACTAAATCATGAAGCTTCCATTTTTTACAAGTCACATGTTGCCATGCAAATCAGGTTGTTGAAGGTCATCTTCAAGGCCCAAGGTCATCTAGGCCTCCTGTCCCACAATGCAACAGTGACTGCTATGTCAGCCAGACAGTCGCCCCTAGACATGTGCTTTCTTAGTATTTCCCCAAACCTTCAGCACAAGCACGCCATCCTTGCTGCCAGACTGAAAACCCCTCCTTGACCTCATATTATCAGCCCACCAATGCAGCAGGCAATTTGACACCTAAATAAGAAGTTAAGGCCAAAAACTGGGATCATGGTCAATTTCCCTTTTCTTTTTATCAAATCATTAACAATTACATCTAATTTGGCTTTCTGAGCCCCTTTTCAATGACCACAATTCTCCAAAGTATCCATTGCTCTTCCAAGTATTCTAACAACATCTGCTTTTCTTTCTTTTCATTTCGTTTGTCTGTGCTGCATTGTTTAATACGTAGTATGATCTTCATTGGGGCATATTTTGTAAGCATAGCTCTTCTGTCCAGAGTGCAACGCTCCACAGTTATTTCATAGAGATATAAAGGATATGCAAAATATTATAATCAATTGGTTATTTCAGTCATTGCTGATTTGCCCTTTTAAGATCTTTTGTTCTGAGAAGAATCAAAGGGACTTCTTTGCGTCATACATTTTGTGAACTTTTTTTTTTTTTTTTTTTTTAGAGGAACTGCTGATTTGAAAGTTTGGGTATTCACTTCTGAATTCTGGGTTCTGAATTGCAGTTATAGGCAAGCAGGCTGTATGACCAGACTTCATTTTCCCTTTCTAAATATGTGGGTGGTACATGCCCTATACATATATTTAGGTTAAGCAAGTAAGCCTTAAAGGTTATTACCAGGGCAACTGCTGTGGGAATGCTTTTTCTTTTGGTGTTTCCATGCTAATGTACCCTTCACCCAGCCCTTGGCTCTGTGGGTTAATCTGGACAAAAGTGGATCTGCACTATGGCATGGGTTCATGCAGGAAAGTGTCCAGTCAAGGATTGACAGAAGGCTTTTTAGATCTGTTGGCTTACGTAGTGACCCATTCTACTGGGTTCCATCATAACTTACTGTTTTCCTCCGCTGACTACTATAATTCTCCAGATGTGATGATGTAGTTTGATTCAACTTTCCCTTCCTGGATTAATTTATTTAATAAATATTTATGGGCCGTATATGACATTTGGGCATGATTCTAGGCCCTTGGGAATGTATCAGGGAGCAAGACAGTCTAAGGTCCCTATGTAGGTACAGATAGACAATAAAGTAGACAACTGATTAGTTAGTAGCAGGTTGCGGTAGCAGGAAGGGAGAAACAGGGTGATGTGGTGAGTGAAGCGGAGAGCATTCGGGGGAGGATGGTCGGGGACGTCTCACCTCATCAGGGCCGTGACAGTTCAGCTGAGATCTACACGTCAACAGAGAGCAAACCATGAGAAGGTGAGGAACAGCGTTTTTGGAAAGGGATTGATAAATGTGGAGATCCAGAGGCAGCTTGTTTTTGCTTGTTTATGGAATAGAAGGGAGGCCAGTCTGGCTGTGGTCTTGTGAGTAAAAGGGAGGGTGATGAGGAAACAGTTGGGAGGATGAGCAATTCATGGGGGCCCGGAGAGCTGGGGATCAGTCTAGAGTGCAGAGCAAGTGGAATGGAAAGCTATAGAAAGGTTTTAAATAGGTGAGACGTAGGATTTGATTTTGCTTTAGAAACTCTCTCAGGCAGTTGCTTGGAGAACAGAGTGGGGCCAGCAGCTGGAGAGATGATGAGGAACCATTGCTGAAGCTATTACTTTACACATGGATTTTTTTCTCTAATCTTCTTTTTTGTGTTCGTTTGTTTATTATTATTATTACTATTTTTGCTGTCGTTGTTGTTTTGAAGTGGGGCGTTGCACTGTCACCCAGAATTCTGGAGTGCAGTGGCATGATCCTCAACTTCCCAGACCAAGTGATTCTCTTACCTCAGCCTCCTGAGTGGCTGGGACCACAGCTGCTCACCAGCACGCCCAGCTAGGTTTTTAACACATTTTTAATTTTCCAGAGTTCTGCCTGTGTTGCCCACTGAGGTCTCAAAATTCTAGGTTCAAGTGATCCTCCTGCCTCAGCATCCCAGAGTACAGGGATTATAGGCATGAGCCTTCATGCCCAGCCATCTGTAACCTTCTTGATGTCCTCAAGTGTCAGATCTTATTCAGCTGGGTACCCCTGCTCTTGAAATCTAGCTGACTACTGGTCTCAGGAGGTTTTATTCTGATAGGTCATTTATTTATTTTCCAACTCTCCTTTATCTATCCCTCTATCCATTCATCCATCCATCTATCCATCCTGGAAATGTTCAATGAGATGAACATTTCTATGTTCAAATATACAGATGAACTGTATATTTGATCCTCACCAAGCCCAGGATCAAATATCCAGTTTCTTGTCTGAAGCCATTCATTGTCTATTTGTCTATTTGTGGAGACAGATATTCAAATAAAGAAACATGGCACACTATAGTAAGGGCTGTAATATTGGAATGTGCAAAATACAATAGGAAGCACTGAGCAAATAGCCAGGGTTAATATTCGCTGACAGTTGAAGAAGGCCTTGAAAAGTTAATAGAAATTTTCTAAACAATACTGTATGTATATGCATATATATGTATATGTGTATCTGTATGTATATTATATATATGAAATACTCCTATTTCTTAAACTCGTACTAGGTGCTAAGCATTGTGTTCTGAACTTCAAATACATTATCTTACTTAAACTTTTTCCCCAACTACTAGCTGAGGGAGTGTAATCCCCATTTTACAGCCCGGGACTTAGAAGCACAGAGAGATAAGAAAACTTGCCCAAGTCACTCAGCTTGCCAGCAGCAGTCCTGACTGTCAAATCCGTCTGTGTGGCTCCAAAGTCTATGCCCTTCACTATTTCCCTATTTTCTATAGATAGGCCGATTTTTTTTGTTGTTGGAAAAATGCTTTGTATGTACAGCTCCTCTGTGCAGAGTGCAAAGTTCTACAGTCATTTCATAGAGTTTACATAGAGTATGCAAAAAATATAACCCACTAGTTGTTCCAGTTATCAATGATCTGTCCCCTTGAGATCTTTCACTTCAGAGGAAAGTTTTAGGCAAGAGAACAACATATAATAGTCAGGGAAGCAAGGAAAGGCATGGCACATTTGAGGAACACAAGGGGTTTGGAGAAGCTGAAGCACAGGGGTGGAGGGATTGGGAATCTGGGGCATAAGCCTCTGGAAAGGTTGGGTTCCAGGCGGGACAGCATCACACACTGTGCTGTGAGTTTGCGATTCTCCTGTGGGATACCTCAGCAGTCTGGTTCTTAGCTCTTTTTTTCTCAGAGCCTGGAAAACTGGATCAAGTGTCGATTGATCTCAGCGACCGACCGGCAGCCTAAAAGAACAATGTGGTTACAAGCTCATTTCTCTCAAACACCAGCAACTCACTGCCTTACGGGTAGGGGGTGATGAAGGGGGACAAGTCTGACTTGATCTTTGCGCTCACTCTTACGAAATGGTTTGCATACAGAACGAATGATGTAATTCTGTTTGCATTGGGAATTATTCTGTGAAACCCAGCCCATGTCATCTCTGAACACAGCCATGTCAAAATGTCAGGGTAACCTATAAAAACCCTATTTTAGCATTTTCTAAATCAATTTCCATGTGCAATAGATGTCCTTCATCTTTATCTTGGTTCTGATAAGGCTCAGGGATGTATGAAGTATCTGTTAGTGAGGAATGTGACACACAGCGAAAGAGACAGGGTGAATATTCCACATAACAATTGCCGTCTAAGGGAAGGTTCTGTCAAAGGAAAAGCCTCTTCTTTAGAAGAAGATCTTAGTTAATATGGAAAGTTAGAACTGTGGCTCAGATTGGACATAAGGATTGAAGAGAGTAACTCGGGATAAGTAAAAGAAGGGAGAAAGAAGAGCTGGTGTGATGTTATGGGGCTGGGGAGTTGTGGGCTTCACCAGGCAATGGGAAGTCCCTGGAGACGAGAGACTGAAAGAATTCAGTAACAGGCTGTGTCATGTTTAACTGGGAGTTCATTCCATCTTCATGATGTGTGCTCCGTAACTTTGGTAAAACGTATTATTCCCAAAAATATGCTAATGAGAGGGTCTTTTCCTGAAAATAGAAGCATAGAGAAGAGTTGAGTTTCACGCCTCAGTTGATTGGAGTAGACAGCAACAGCAGGCATGGGGTATATCAATAGCCCATAAATTGAACAAATTCAGCAGAAACAAGAATTCAGAGCCAGAGGTGACAGTCCCCAGAACTGACAGTGATCTTGAGGAGAGCTCTGACTTCCACTGGGCAAAGAGTAGTGCTTAATCTTTGCCTTGAATGTTGCCTCCCTGGCCTATCTTCTGGACAGCTGCCATGCCAGGTAAGGGTCAGCTGGAGGGAAGGACGGTTCCTGTTCTTTAGTCATCCTGCGTTAAGTTCCAAATCAGGAAAACAAAACAAACAAACAAACAAACAAACAAAAAAAACGTTTTTAACTTACCTGTAAGGGCCATGGAAGTGTGGAATTCATTTGTTAAAATGTTCAAAACTTCCTTAACACCATGTTCACCCTGCTCCCAAGGCAGACAAACAGAGACACAAAGAGACAAGAAGGGACACTCTGACGATCCACTGAGTATAAATTCTAGATATAGTCAGCGCTATGATGGGAAGGATGGGAATCTCCGTGAAGTGAGAATTCCTTTGGGAATAAAGGAAAGCATGGAGCCAAAGATAGGGGATGAGAGCTATTGAATGTTTTGCAGAATGCTTCAGAGAAAGCATGGAGATGCAGGTCAGGTGTAACTATCCTTTAGGAATCACTTTGAAAACGGCTAATCGTGGAAAATGAACCGCAGAAAAGCACGGAAATGAATGGGAAGCTCTGTATCTTCTTGCTGGTTAGCTTTGTGACACTCACCTTGCAGGCAAGACCCCAGAGGATGGGTCTCCCAAGAAAAACACACTTAGCCCCAAGGGCCAGAGCCTTCAGCACGTCGTTGCCAGTTCGGACCCCGCCATCCAGGTAGACTTCAATTTTCCCCTTTACTGCAGCCACCACTTCTGTCAAAGCATCAATCTGAAAAGGAGATACACACGGGCTAGGGGGCTTTCTGTTTTGACTCTCAGACTTGGTCTTCCTGGCATACGATCAGGAAAACCAAGCTGGGAAGATGTCCTTGACATTTTCTTCCCGTTCCATGCTTAAGGCTGCTGGTGCTGATGAAATGCAGCAGCAGTGACATTCCTGAGGCCCTCCTGCCCTGACTTTCTGCTTGGACTCCAACGTAGCTTTTCTCTGACTCACTTAACTGTCTCACAGGTTGGAAGAACTGCTTGGTTGCTTTTTCCATCCTAAAAGGGACATTTTCCATTTATAATGTTCACGTTAACTCCCCTCTTCTCAAACAACATTTTGACTTTTGATTTGATTCTACCTTCTCTGTTTCTAGATGGCACAACTAGAAAGACTCTCCACTGCGAAGGCACTAAGTCTTTTTGGCAAGACAAGTATGCTCATCCACGGCCTGCATGTCTGGATCGCAGCCTGCCTTTAGAAACTGGCCTGCATATCATTTCTCATGCACCACTTAACCAACTTGTCCCTGAGTCCCTTATGCTGTATCTGAGAAAATGAGATAGGACTGAAGCACAGCATGGTAAGAATTACCTTGGCCTGATATTTTTTCTACAGAATTTTGTGTGTTATGTTGCCTCTTCTATTCCAGGAAACGGGCCAATAGGCCTTGACCACACAAGCTGCCCCAGGTCAATCAATGCCTCTAGTCAGTTGCAAGTCTGTAAGGAGAAGTGACAGCAGGTCCCTTCTGGATCAGGGGACAGGTCCTTGGGGAGGGAGTTCTGGAACTCCCTCGGGGTTCTTGTCTGTGCTTCTCTGAGGGATGGAAAACAGTGTGGAGATTCCTTAAAGAACAAAAAGGGTGAACTACCATTTGATCCAGGAATCCCACTACTGGGTATCTATCCAGAGAAAAGAAGTCATTATATGAAAAAGATACTTGCACACACTTTTATAGCAGCACAATTCACAATTGCAAAAACGTGGAACTAACCCAAATACTACTCAGCCATAAGAAGGAATGAATTCATTTACAGCGACCTGGATGAGATTGGAGACTGTTATTCTAAGTGGAGTAACTCAGGAATGGAAAACCAAACATGATATGTTCTCAGTCATAAGTGGGAGCTAAGCTATGAGGATGCAAAGGCCTAAGAGTGATACAGTGGGCTTTAGAGACTCAGGGGGAAAGGGTGTGAAGGGGTGAGGAATAAAAGACTACAAATAGGGTACAGTGTATACTGCTCAGGTGATGGGTGCACCAAAATCTCACAAATCACCACTAAAGAACTTACTCATGTAACAGAACACTACTTGTTCCTTAATAAACTATGAAAATATTTTTTTAAACTCAGATGAATGATATTTGAATAGAATGTTTTAAAAAACCAAATGGCAAACTCTGATCTGTGAGCTGGAAGCTTGTTTTTACAAATAAATAGATTTGGGACTAGGATTAAGGTGAGGCAAGTGAGGCAGGGTTATACAAATGCAGGGTCAGGTTTCGCCTGAAGCAAAACCCTCGCTAGGCTCCTGCTGATATTGGTGCTGTCTCTGAGTGACCTTGGGTTTGGATGCTCTTTTGCCTTCTCTGTTTTGCTAAAGACTGGATGACTTGTAGGCTTTCTGGCAGGGGTTGGGTGAGAGAGTTCAGTGTGTGCTCTGCCTAACCACTTTCTCCCAAGGTTGCAAATCAAGAGGTGGGATGGAAAGTAGGAGGCCTGATCACTTCAATCCAGTTCTTACCAGAGAGCCACAATGAAGGGTGGCCCCTGCTTTCCATGTGGGCTTGCCATTCCTCTGCCTCTGCCAGTTAGAGCTGGTGCAGAGGAGGTGGTGATGGCTGGACCTTAAGCTCCCAAGCATCACGTGTCTTGGAATGCATCAACCAACTAGTGCAAATTTTCAGTTCCTGGAATTTATCTTAAAGAAGTACTTGAGAATGTGCTGAGGAGTCAGTCACTGATGTGTTGTTTAAAATAGGGAAAGATGAGAGGGGATACAGTTGTTGTACAATGGAGGTTGGTTATATAGTTGTCTGTTCATATTACATGCCATTAAAAATAAGAGGAGCATATATACTCAAACACAAAGTTGCTCTTAATGTTATGCTAAATAAAATAACAAAATATAATTTAGAAGTTTCTTAAACACCAAAAGTTGTATTTGCATTAAGAAGATGTTAACGATGACCAAAATATTGACGTTAGTGATAGAGATAAAATGAGTGTTGATTTTATCTTTTGCTATGTATATTTTCTGACTTAGCTGCAGTGAACATATTTTATTTATATAAGTGTCAACGAAACTGAAAAGGAAAAAACCTCATTTCTCTTTCTTAAAACAAGTGAAGCAGCAATAGAACATTTGAAAAAATATAACTCAATGAAAACAACAACAAATTCCCATGTAAAGATTCTTTCTCTGTCTTCCTTTCCCTCTTTTTCTTCTTTCTTTCTTTCTTTTTTTTTTTTGCCTTCAAACTTCATCTATAATGGACATAAGTTTATAAGTTAGGGAAGAAAGTATGGACTAGTGTAGATTTTAGCAAAAGACTCATTAGGGTGTTTTTAGAGTTTTGCCATGAAAGATGTTCACTTTAGAACATCTCTCTAATCAAATTCCACATTAATCATTTATTATCTATGTGAGCTAAACACAAGTTGCTTAACTCATCACTAAACTACAGTATCCCCATTTACAAATCAGGGATAATAACACCCATCTTCCAGCATTGGCATGAGACTTAGAGATGCTATATGTAAAGGTTGAAAAAACAGCCTAGCACACAGTAGGCTGTTATCAATAATTAACAGTCTTTAAAATTCACAAATACATACTAACACAGGCAGTATGGAGGGGGGAAGTATTCACCAGATTTCACTGAGTGCCTTGATGTGGACACCACACACACACACACACACACACACACACACACCACTCACAAACACACCCCTCTCTGAAGTAATCCCACTTACTGAAGCAAGAACCTCATCAAGCTGCCTCCCACCGTGGTTGGAAACGATGATGCCCTGGACATTGTGCTTCACAGCTAACTCCGCGTCCTCTCTTGTCAAAATCCCTTTAAGGATGATGGGCAATCGAGTTATGCTCTGAAACCAGGAGAGATCGTTCCAGCAGAGAGAAGTGCTGATAGAAGCCATCTGGAAATAAGGTAAAGAATCTCCCTATAGGAAATAAAAAGGGAACTTAGTCCTGACCTCTCACAAGTCTACCTGATGCATTCCAAAGATGAGACACATTTGGAGAGTTGCCATTTATAAACTTGAAGGAGGAGGAACAGGTCTGGGCATGATGGCTCATACATATAATCCCAGCGCTTTGTGGGGCTGAGGCTGAAAGCTCTCTTGAGCCCAGACATTTGAGACCAGCAAGGGAAACAGAGAAACCCTGCAGCTGGTCGTTTATAAAAAATAAATGGTGATGCATGCCTGTAGTCCAGCTACTTGGGAGGCTAAAATGGGAGGATCACATGGGCTCAGGAGGTCACAACTGCAGCGAGTAGTGATAGTGCCACCACATACCAGCCTGGGTGACAGAGTGAGACCTTGTCTCAAAAGCAAACAACAAAGAAAATAAAAAGAAATGAGAGCAACAAAACCCAACAGTGTTTCTAGCTCCCTTTTTTAAACAAAATTTATATAAAAGAATTTCGACTTCAATTGCTCATCATTAACCATGAATCACGTTGCTGCTCAATAATTGTGCCAGGATCTGGGGACACAAAGACAAATAAGACAAAGTTTCTAATTTAAAAAAATTCAGAGTTCAGTGTATGGTATTGATAAGCAAAAGCACTTAGAGGTCAAAGTGTTATGTTATGGTTAAAACATACTCAGGATAAGAACTAAGCAATACAAAATCAGTTATTACCCAGTATTTACTCTTGACTCACCATGTACATCAAATATTTATAAATCTCGGTGTGCTTCTGGAATGTGAATAAGAATTTTGGAACACCTCAAGGCCAATCTGTGATTAATGAGAACCGTTAAGTTCCTTGGCTGGGTGTCACAGCTACCCACTTTCTGAAAAGCCTCGCTTTACTATCTCGACTATAGCCAGGGATTCCAACTTTATCCTAGCTGTCTCTCTCTGAGGCATTGCTTGCCATTTAATTACAGGATTTTAATGGGGAAGGTGCCCTTCGTAGTCACCTAGTTGAGAGATTACAAACTAATATGCTATAGCAACCTGGTGCTCCACAAATGAATTCTATGTGTGCAGAGACACTAATTCCTCAGTTCTAAGACAGCAGGGTAGAACCCGGCCTGTCTGGACTCTCTGGTCAGTCACCTTGGTCATGAGCATCCCCTTTGGAGAGTCAGTTTGTCTACGTATGCCACCCAAAATTAGCATTTTCTGAGTCTGTCATAAGGTAGAAAATGTTGGATGAACTTTTTTAGTCACTGTCCTGTTCCATGCAAAAATCTTTGTTATGGCTTTCCTATTTTTCAGCCTATGGCTCTGACCAGACACTTCTGGTGACAAGTTGGGCAGATCCAAGGGTGAGAACATTTGGTCTTATATTCTGCTTGTCTGGAAGCTCTCGGGAGCAGGAACCATATCTGCTTTTTCTAACTGCTGTATACTGCGTCTGGCACAGAGCAGGCATTCAATAAATACTTGTGGAAAGAAAGAATGGAGGAAGGGCCGGGCACGGTGGCTCAAGCCTGTAATCCCAGCACTTTGGGAGGCTGAGGCGGGCGGATCACGAGGTCGAGAGATCGAGACCATCCTGGTCAACATGGTGAAACCCCGTCTCTACTAAAAATACAAAAAATTAGCTGGGCATGGTGGCGCGTGCCTGTAATCCCAGCTACTCAGGAGGCTGAGGCAGGAGAACTGCCTGAACCCAGGAGGCGGAGGTTGTGGTGAGCTGAGATCGCGCCATTGCACTCGAGCCTGGGTAACAAGAGCGAAACCTGTCTCAAAAAAAAGAAAGAAAGAAAGAAGGAAAGAAAGAAAGAAGGAAGAAAGGAAGGAAGGAAAGAAAGAAAGAAAGAATGGAGGAAAAGAGAAAAGAGCAAAGAAAATTTGCCTTCTGCAATGCCTGTCCATTGAGTACGGTATCTTTCCTACCTTTTTGGGTGACTGAAGATCTTTTAGTGTTAAGTTCCTCCTCAATTGGTTTTGAATGTCATATCGTCTGTTGCCACATACAGGTGTATCCAAAGTTATTACCAAAGCTTTAAAACCCAGGGATTCTACCCTGTGGATCAGCTGTTTGTTCAGCTGCCGGTCTGGATGTACGTAGAGTTGGAACCATCGGAGGCCTTCGGGAGCTGCAGTAACAATGTCTTCAAGGCTACAGCTGGCAACTGTGCTGGTGATGTAGCAGATACCAGCTGAATGGGCAGCTGCAAAGCAAAAGACATGGCACAGGCTAGAGGGCAGAGGCGTCTGGACTTGGCTGAGAAATCCTGGGAGTCTGTGTAGCCTCTGGCCATCTTGCCCCATGAATGCAGATAGTTTAACTTCATTCTGCTTCCTCGTAAGGCAGGGATGGAAGGCAATTTGATCAGACTGAGAGACCTAAAGGTGTCTGGATTCTCCCCTGTATGACCTGTCTTACAAACCCTCCACTCAATAACAAAATATTTCCAGCTAGAGATGCCATCTGATCTCCAAAACCATGTTGGTTGCGTTACAGCCTTCAGACAGGAGACTGGGGTTCTTACGAACTCCAAATGAAGCAGAGGAGAATGGGAGAGGGTAAAGGATGAGGGAATGTCATTCCAGTGGAGAAGACTGAATTTCATAGTGGAAAAAGCATAACACATGAAATTAGAAGAATGTGAGTTCTACCCCTTCTTTGCTGTGTCGTCTTGAGTCTCTCATTTTCTTTTTCTGTAAAATGGGGAAGATAATACATGTCTTTAGGGTTGTTGGGAGACTGAATAAGATACTGACTATGGGACGATTCTTTACATTGCAAAGTGGCATTCCGCATAGATGCCAGTGCTAATGACATTGATGGTGATGACATTCGTGCTGCTGCTGCTGACTGGCAGATTTCCCATTTCCTACTTTATTCATTTCAATGAAACCGACAACAGGCTAATGTCACTGTCCCACCGTAACACATGGGCAGAGAATTTGGCCTAATCAAAAATTAACATTTTCAATTTTTCATGTCAAGAAGAGATATCCCATTCTTTTATCCTACTCCCAAACAACACGTTCAACCATGACAATTTAGTAAACTAGTCATATTAATATAGGATATTAATATTTCAACGTAGCTAGACATGGTCCCTAAACTACATCAAGATGGATGCAACATTCTGCTCTAGAATCCTTGACTTCATAGCTTCCTGTATCACGGAGTCCAAGGAAAAGACCTCAGGGAAGCCCTGAGCAATTAATTCACAAAACCGGATGTGACTTAGAGTGAAGATTGCAAGAGTCCCAGGAGCATTTCAGCCCTATCTCTCCTTTTCTATTTTTGATTATGATTATGATTATGATTATGATTGATGGTGATGGTGGTGATGGTGGTGGTGGTGGAAGAGGAGGATGTGGGATAAGAATAGGGTTGACTGGGAAGGAGATGTAACCCAACAAGAAACTCTTTGTCAAACAAGATGACAAGTTCAATTGAGGAGAAGGGAAATGGAATATTTGGGCAATCGCAGCTGCCAGGGCCTTGTTAGGACCTAATGTCAGGATTGTCTCCTCTTCCTGTATTCAGAGACAGTCATTCAGCCCCAGCTCTGGCCCATCAGGGCCAAAGAGAGCCCTAGCCGTGGGGCTGCGTTAAGCATCCCTTTCCCTATACGTGGTGTGAGCCACAGAGGCCAGCACCCCTTTCCTGAGGGACGACTTGGTTGGATTTTGGCATCGTCTTATTCATCTGTAGCCCCCTCCCACTCTCACTCTTCTTTATTATGGAAAATGAATGTTTTCTCATTCTCAAGTTACGCAAGCGTAGCTTTAAGCATTCTTTCTTGCCTTCCTGAGTGTTGACCAGATTGTATTCCTAAGGCCCTTCTAGAGAGAATCTTGGAGCACTCTGCCACTGCTCTGAGGGACACCTTTTTCTGGGAGAGGAGCCTCGAGGTGATGGTTCATACCTCTTGCTGTGCTCATTTCTCCATCAGGCCAGACAAGGCAGTGGAAGCCTGTGGGCGCGATGCCGATAGGGGCACTGATCTTCTCCCCTTGGATCGTGGTCCTGGTGTCCACCTCAGACACGTCTCTCAGGTACCGGGGACGGAGACGAATTCTGTGCCGGACAATAAAGAGATTTTCTGTTGGTGCGATAACTCTGCAGCAGGGATGTGCTGTCTGGGGCAAACCCCTGATTCCCGATACAAGTCTAAGCCAGACTGGGTCCTGTGGAACCTTGCTGGGTTCAGCTGGCTGAGAGCTGAGTAACCCGTGTGGATTCAGAACAGGCTCATCTCCCAGAAGCCACTCCCAACACCTCGTTCCCCATTCCCCAACCTTCTCTGAACCCCTCGTGCACACCACACCTGCTTTGCTGTGACAGGGGTCTGTGTCTTTGAGCCGTGCCTCCCCGACTACACTGCAACACTTGGATAGTTTGATTTTGTTCATCATAACAGGGTCAGAAAGGAAAAGAATAAGTAGGAAGAAGTTCCAGATTCTTTTCCTCTCAGGTTAGGTATAAGTCTCCAGAAAGTAAGAAAAGGCCCCTAAATGAGAACAAATCCCAGGTAGTGGCTGAGGCTCCTGTGATAGAGACTAGTTCATTTAAAGGTTTTACTTAAACACTGCTTTAGAAGAAGATAGGAGAATTTACAAATAATAAATAGGCAAAACACACTTTTTAGATAAATGTATGCTTAGTCTCAGGGGCCTAGTTTTTATTGTTTACATAATATTATTATTTCTGGACATGAACTTAGAAAAATTTTCTGAAAATTCTAACTGTGCAAATTTGAGTAAGGTAGCCTCAGTCACTTCATCTGTGAAACAGGAATAATAGTTTAAATTTCCTAATAGTTTTGTGAAGACAAAATGAAATAAATGATGTAAGATGCCTAGTATACTGCCACTTAAGTGTGAAAAGACAGAATATAGGGCTCCTTTTATGCCATTTTTAGTTTTCTCCTGACCTCTCTATCACAGGAATCAGCAAGCTTTTTCTATAAAGGGCCGGAGAGTCTGTCACAATTATTCAACACGGCTGTTAAAGGACAAAGTAGCCATACACAATAGTAAATGAGCACGGATATGTTAAAATAAAACTTTATTTATGGACACTAAATCTGAATTTCATATAATTTTTATATATTACAGTTTTTTCTTCTCTTGACTCCCCTACACCCCCCACCAAGCCATTCAAAAATGCAAAACCATCCTTAACTCGTGGACCATACAGAAATAAATGGCAGGTCAACCTCTGCCTATGGACTGCTCTTGGGTGAATGATGCTCCACCTCCTACTTTTTCAGCCTAACTCTTCTCCCTTGACTCAATCTCTTATTATCGTTAAGACTCCTTGGATCTTCGTATTTTCTCCAAACCTAAAGTCTCTCTTGTCTTCCATTTTCTTCTCCCAGCCAGAGTTCAAGAACTCAGGAGATCTAGGCCTCCCAGCAGGCCCCCCCTCCCTGCCCAGGGACCTGGTCATTCTGGGACTCTTGTTCTATTTTGTCAGGTTGCACAGTTGCTGAGAAGGAGAATGACTCACTTATACTAGTGATAAGATAAATACCCTCTTTTTCCATCTTCTCATCAACCCTCCCTCCCCTGCCCACAATAAGCCAAAACAACAAAATATCACCCACATTTCTAGGTCTTGAGTGATCTGTGATTTTTGGAGGCAGAAACCAGGACAACTTGCATCCAAGGAGCACTCCCCCGGTGCACCTTAGCCTAACAATAGACAGGCTGGGGAAAACCAAACCTTTTAAATGCTGCAATGTTGTCATCCCGCGTGACGCTGTCATCTGCTCCTCCTTCGATAAAATCCCGAGTTGATTTAGACAGGTGCTCCCGTGCATGAGCCTGAAAGTCTGTCAGACACACCAAGGACATTTCTGGACCTTCCAAGGAGAAAACCAAACCAAACCACACCCAGTAAGAACACTTCAGATGCAGAAAAGAAAATGAAGGGGAAGCTGCAGCATGAAATTGTTTGGATTCAACATTGATCTCTGTGTATTCTTTATCCTAATAGAGTTATTGCTAAACCCAGTGATTCCTAAGCCAGAAGGCAGGGAATAATGGTCCATCCCTCCATTCCCCTATTCCCATTTCCAAATCCCGATTATTTGCCTTCTAAATATTTCTCATCTTTTCTCCTCCACTCTACACACACCACCTCAGACCTAGCGGAGGCCCCACCACCTCTTAAAAATGTATTACAAAAAATTCTTATTTTTTTATCTTGCCTTTACATTAACTCCCCATCTTGTCTTCCTTCAGCTGCCTGTGATCTTCCTAAAGTTCCAGGCTGACTCTGCCTGCCGGTTGCCTTTCAGTGGGAATGCCCTTTGCCTTTCACATCACGGCATTCCCGGCTTTCTAGGCCTTTGCTCTTCCCTGCCTCAGCAGCTTCATTTCTTGGTGAGCTGATACTAATATCTGGGAGTTCCCAGGAACATCTGAATGTCTGGATGGCCTGGGGCTGTGGATGACAGGGTGGGGAAGGGACAAGAGAAAGTTGACTTTGTAATTCTTAGCTGGGTCACTGAACGTGTTGCTTGATATTATTGGGAGGCCCAAGTATCACCACCTACCTCTTTTCTATTTTGGCTAATTCTGGGAATTGGGAAACAATGTATGTTACGTCCATTTATTTTCATCTTCAATTGGAGCCCTATAAACCCAGAGCTTGGTACTTTTGATACAACACTCCTGAAAGAGGAAAGAGGAGGGCAGGGTTTGGGGGTAACCAATAAATCTCTCCAGTAGAAACAGGGCAGTAGGAACAGCAAAGATGCTGAAGACATGAGTTGCTGTCAGTGACAGCACATAGAGCTCCTGCATGAGAGGATTCCAGAAGAAAAACAGAGAAACCTGAAGCTCTAAGCCCCAGCCAACTCCCAGGCAGTTGGCAGCCATGTGAAAATTAACAAGGCTGTGGGTAGAAACTGAATCTGAATGGCTTTTAAGCCATTATCTAAAGGAAGAGAATAGGTCCCAGTAACTAGGGCTTCAACCAGGAATGGGTTAGTTCCTCTACTGGACAGAGGGGACAGAGAGGCCAGATGAGATGTGGGCTGCTGGGAATCTTGGCTCGGGCAGGGATGGGGCGGAACTTGCCTGAGGGCAAGTCGAGTCAAGCCCGAATCTGGTCAAGTCAAACAGGAGTAGCCCTTGCACTTACTACGGAGGTTAAGCACGAGGATATTAAATGACGGACAGAAAAATAGAGGCCCCAGGATGTGCACTTGGCTCTTGATGGAGGCTATGAGGAGGTATTTGGAGTTCTGCCCTAGCATTTTTTATAGGAAAAGTACTCTGCCAGTGAGTGAGGAGAGAACCGTGGGGTATGGAGTTGAGCCTGACAAAGTACTACAAACATTTAATTTAGCTTGTTCTTACTCCACCCTTCAAAGGGTTAATAAACATTAGTCAAATGAATTAATCATTGCAAGTATCCAACTATATCGCAATTGCTTGTTTGTTTCTCTGTGTGTATAAAAGAATGAACATACCAGGCCTGGGAATGTTATTCTTCCAAAGGTCTGCTTGCAACATTAGACCTTGGTTAGTGTCTCGTAACTTGGATACCAACAGGGTTCCCAGTGTTCCTTGATAAGAGCAGCTCCCTGTGTGTAAACTGTTTGTATCAACAATGTGGTTTATGACGAACATTTGCTTCTCCTCTGGGAGTCTCTAAGTTTGGTATGGGCTAGGCAGAGGGTGATCTTATGACCAGCCCCCAACATGAAACTGGGGGTTGGATCTCTACTGAGCGCCCCAGGTAGGCAACATTTTCATTTGACATCACATCTTGTTGCTGGGGGAATTAACTGCATCCCACATGAGTTCGCTGGCAGAGGACTCATGGAAGCTTATACCTGATTTCCTCCAGATTTTGCTGCAAGAACCATTTTTCCCTTTGCTAATTTTGCTTTGCATTCTTTCAGTAACAAAGTATAGCCTCAACTATGTGTTCCTCCTATTGAAGAACTGAATTTAGGACCCCCAACACACTTTCCCTAGATATTAGGATAGTATGTGGCACTGAGTTGTTGCTTATAAATGTTCATTACATTAATTTAACATTCCCCTGCCTGCCATTTCTATGCATTATTGGATAAGAATTCTTCACCTGGTTTCAACTCCGAATATCTCAACAAATCCACATATCCTCAAATTATACACTCAGAAATGCTTTTCTACACAATTCTAGAGTAAAAATGACACAAAGATTGTGTCTAATCCAGAAGAAATGGCTCATGCTGACTCAGAGTCATGTGCCTAGAATAGTGTGAATTATATAATTTGAAACTGCTTGGACATTAAGAATTAACCCTACCATCTTATATGTAACACACAGTATTTTATCTCATTCCTATACCACTTCTAATTTTTCCTTAGACTCTTTTCTATTTACAGTTTTCTCTCAATGACCCTGTGAAGGCGACAGAGGAGGTATTAGTCTTCCTATTCTGCATTTGAAGAGACTGAGGCCTCGGAAATGAAATAACTTGTGAAAGATCAGTGATACAGTTTGGCTGTGTCTCCACCCAAATCTCATCTTCAATTGTAGCTCCTGTAATCCCCACGTGTCATGGGAGGCGCCTGACGGGAGGTAATTGAATCACGGGGGTGGGTTTTCCCATGCTGTTCTTGTGAGAGTGAATGAGTCTCATGAGATTTGATGATTTTGTTATTTATTTGTTTGTTTATTTATTTATTTATTTATTTGTTTTGAGATGGAGTGTCACTCTGTCATCCAGGCTGGAGTGCAGTGGGTACTGCACTCATGTGTTTTGGTAGCTTTTAACAATAGGCATTTTCCATTTTCAATTTCATGTAAAGAACAAAATAGTTGGGTCTCATAAATTGCTAGTTACATTGAATTTAAGAGAACTTTGTAGGTTTAAAAATACAATCATGCATTTATTTTTTATAAGGTATGTAAAGCTTAGCATGATCTTGGCTCACTGCAACCTCTGTCTCCCCAGTTCAAGTCATTCTCCTGCCTCAGCCTCCTGAATAGCTAAGGTTACAGGCATGCACCACCACGCTCAGCTAATTTTTGTATTTTTAGTAGAGATGGGGTTTTATCATGTTGACCAAGCTGGTCTCAAACTCCTGACCTCAAGTGATCCACCTGCCTGGCCTCCTAAAGTGCTAGGATCACAGGCATGAGCCACCATGCCTGGCTGATCTGATGATTTTATGAAGAACAGTTCCCTGCATGTGCTCTCTTATCTGCCTCCATGTAAGACACACCTTTGCGCCTCCTTCACCTTCTGCCATGATTGTGAGGCCTCTCTAACTATGTGGAACTGGGAGTCCATTAAACTTCTTTTTCTTTATAAATTATCCAGTCTCAGGTATTTCTTTTATAGTATGAAAATGGACTAATAAGGTAAATTGGTACCTGGTAGTGGAACGCTGCTGTAAAAATACCCGAAAATGTGGAAGTGATTTTGGAACTGAATAATAGGCAGAAATTAAAACGGTTTGGAGGGCTTCAAAGAAGACAGAAAGATGTGAGAAAGCTTTAAACTTCCTAGAGATTTTTTTGAATGGCTTTAACTAAAATGCTGATAGTAACATGGACAATGAAGTCCAGGCTGAGGTGGTGTCAGATGGAGATGAAGAACTTATTGGCAACTGGAATAAAGGTGATTCTTGCTATGTTTTAGTAAACAGACTGGCAGTATTTTGCCCCTCCCCTAGAGATCTGTTGGACTTTGAACTTGAGAGAGATGATTTAGAGTATCTGGTGGAAGAAATTTCTAAGCACCAAAGCATTCAAGAGGTGACTTGGAGGCTTTTAAAAGCATTCAGTTTTATATATTCACAAATATAAGATTTGGAATGGGAACTTATGTTTAAAAGGGAAGCACAGCATAAAAATTCAAAAAACTTGCAGCCTGACGATGTGATAATAGAAAAGAAAAATCAATTTTCTGAGGAGAAATTCAAGCCAGCTGCAGAAATTTGCATGTGTAATGAGAAGCCAAATGTTAATTGCAAGACAATGGGGAGAAGGTCTCCAGGGCATATCAGAGATCTTTATTGCAGCCTGGCCCATCATAGGACTGGAGGCCTAGGATGCAGGGCACCAGTGCCATGCTGCTTTGTGCAGTCTCAAGACTGTGTGCTCTATGTTTCAGCCATGGCTAAAAGGAGCCAAAGTATAGCTCACAGCATAGTTTCAGAGGGTGCAAGCCCCAAAGCTTGGCAGCTCTCACATGTTGTGGGGCCTGTGGGTGTGCAGAAGACAAGAAGTGAGGTTTGGGAAGCTTTGCTTAGATTTCAGAGGATGTATGGAAACACTTGGATGTCCAGGCAGAAGTCTGCTTAAAGGGGCAAAGCCCTCACGGAGAACCTCTGCTAGGGCAGTGTGGAAGGGAAATGTAGGGTTGGAGCCTTCACACCGAGTCCCTACTGAGGCACTGCCTAGTGGAACTATGAGAAGAGGGCCGTTGTTCTCCAGACTCCAGAATGGTAGATCACTGACAGCTTGCACTGTGCACCTGGAAAAGCCACAGACACTCAACACCAGCCTGTGAAAGCAGCTGGGAGAGAAGCTGTATCCTGAAAAGCTGCAGGGGCAGAGCTGCTCAAGACTCTGAGAACCTACTTCTTGCATCAGTATGACCTGGATATGAGACATAGAATCAGAAGAGATCATTCTGGAGCTTTAAGATTGGACTGCCTCACTGGATTTTGGACTTGCGTGGGGCCTGTAGCCCCTTTGTTTCGGTCAATTTCTCCCATTTGAAATGGCTGTATTTACCCAAATCCCTGTATCTCCATTGTATCTAAGAAGTAATTAATTTGCTTTTTATTTTAAAGGCTCATAGGTAGAAGGCACTTGCCTTGTCTCAGATGAGACTTTGGACTGTGAACT